AGAGTAAAGGAGGGGTTCCATTTCGAGAGGTGCACCTTATATGTTGTATGTGTCAATGACTTCATTGCAATCAATCATCGTTGAGAGAGATGCATAATAGCAATGGAACGTGTACCAGTACTCTTCAAAAATATACCAAATTAAACTCAAGTTTAAGTTTTTCGGTGGATCTGGAGAGAACACCAAATAAAAAAATACATGTTTTAATACCAGGAGTCCACCTCCTCAAAATATGTCGCAATACAAGATGAAATATCATACAAGGAACATTATTAAAGATTTTGTTGTTTTATTGCTTACATTAACGATCATGAGAAATCAACATACGTCAAAACCGTGCTGCAAACCATCAGAAACGTTCATCAGAACGTCAAAATTGTGCGTCTGAACGTCACCTTTTTCACGCTTCTGACGCATCAACGTTCGAATGACATATGCCTAACCGTCAAACTCGTTCGTAGAAACGTTTGAACCATGCGTCTAAACGTCACGTTCTTCACGCTTTTGATGCATGCATTCAACGTTCGATTAGGAAACTTATGTCAAAATGTCAAACACGTACATCAGAACGTCAAAAACGTGCGTCTAAACGTCTCGTTCTTCACGCTTCTGACGCATGTATTCAAAGTTTGATGAAAAAATGTGCGTTAGAACAGTTACGTTGAAACGTCAAAAAGGTGGATCGAAACATCAAAAATTTAAGGGAAATGTGCCTGAGTTGGCATACATTTTGTAAATATATTTTTTTTAAAGTCATTTTTGAGATTTACGGGCTGAAACTTGGTAGTTGAATAGGAAAATACCTAGCCTAACAACAACAAAAATTAATAGAACCCTAACTGTGTTTTTAGGTTGAGTATATATTTTTTTTAAATCACCTCGCCATGCCATCTCGGGCTGAATATTCCGGGTAAGATGGCATGGTATGCCATCTTGCCCAAACTGGACTTACTTGAAGTGAATAAATATTAAATGAGATGTCATTGTCAAAGGTCATTCAATAATAAATATAACGGAAATGTAACGCTTAACTTATACAGTCAGGTACAATGATAAATACCTGAAACTAAAATAAACAGAACCCAAAAATATGAAAAACAAATATTATTAATGAAAAAAGTGAAGTTTGAAAAGAATAGGGAGTACTACTCGAAAGTTGAACACAAAGTTCACAAATATACTGTTCTGTTTTGAAGGAGCAATCTGAACAATCGCAGTGGGCCCATTTATTACAAGACAAGCAAGGTTGGTCTTTTCCCGCCCAAATAGTTTTTTCTGCTCCTACGCTGAATCGATTTGTTTCCTGACAGCGTCGTCGTAAGGTTCCGAAAGGAACACTGTAGGTTTTGGAAGCTAACAAACAGCCCATTGATCCAGATTTAACAGCTCTTATTGCTTCTCTCATATTGTCTTCGACCCATTGATGATGATTACTTTTCCGTTGGTACTTTCCAACCATGTTCACTTAAATCCTGCAACAACAAAATGACTTATTGATTTTGTTACGTAAGGGCGAGTTGGCATACTATGCCAACTAGCCCGAATCAACAGTATGCCAACTCGCCCGAAAACGCTTTTCAAAAAATAAGACCTATTTACTCACAACCAGTTACAACATAGCAACGGTTATACCGTAGAATTTCGAGGTTAGGTTCACAAAATCGATTTACGTTTGTTGTAATTCAAAAAGATATAGGTCGCGTGCAAGAACTGTCAGATGACCGACCCTGGAGGCAAAACATATTTGTTTACAAGTGATCGAAATAGTTTTCCACAATTATTTTGGCATATGAATCGTATTTTTCCGCTATTCATCAATTCGCTAATGCCATCACATTGTGCTGTTGTAAAATGCACAAAAACTGCAGCGGAAGATGAAGAAATCCGGATGGTACATTATGATTCAAAAGTAAGTACCTACTATAGTCACTCACATAGTTTTCATTTTTGAAATTTGGTTATTTCTCTGATTTCTCATCGGAATTCCTTCTGCCATAGGATCTGCTGATAGAAATATACCTGAAATTTCTAGAATAATGCAAGAAGATTGGATTCATGCAATCAATCGGTAGGACTGGTCTGACATGCTGACGATCGTTTGTGTTGTTGACATTTTCAATCTATTAGCAGCATTAGCTTGTATTGCAGAAGTGGCAGAAGGCAGAAGGAATTTTAATAAGGAATGACAACATTTCATAATGCTAACTATGTGAGATTACTATTTACCTGAAAAATCATATTCCCTAGTCTCTTGCTGCATTTTTTGTGCATTGTACAACAGCACAATGCGAAGGCATGCTTGAATTAATGAATAACGTAAGAAACACGATTCGTATGCCAAAATATTGTGAAAAACTATTTCAACCTTTTGATTCCTCTGTAACCAAATAAAAAAGTGAGGTTGTGTTTCAATAATTCACAGAAGAATGAGGTTGTGTTTCAATATTTTGCCTCCAGGGTCGGTCTTCGTGCACGCGACCTATTGGATGTTCATGTTTTGCAGCAAGTTATAATATAAGAGTGAATTAAACATTTCTTACCTTCAAAAAAACAATTTTGTCATAAACTTTTCTATTTATTGTCGGAAGTAGCCACAAACACATTTACCTGCTTGCACACAATAAGTAAACAGAAGGAGAAGGTTAATTGCGCCGCAAAGTTTTTAGAAGCTGAGGAAGTAGGTACCAATATGCCAACTCGTCCGGTAGCTATTCTTATATTATATTGTTCATGTCATAAAGAATCCAAATGATTCAGAACATTATTGTCACAGTGATACACATATTCTCTCAGTGCCATGGTCAATTGAATATCATTAGATTATTCGCAAAAAACATACAATGTATCAGACCAGCTTCTATCTATTACTATCATCGAAATGAGTCTTCGTGGAATTCATAGCATTGCAATTATAAGCACAATAGTTTAATCTTTCAACAAAGCCACTCGATAGGGTACTATAGTCTCTGGTCGGCTTCAACACCCGTACATCATTTTCTATGAGCTGAAGTGCCGTAATGGGTTAGTATACATACAAAATAATTAATAAAATACACGTAGTCTTTTGGGTGTATGATAAATTGACATTTATCATACAGGGCGTGGAAATAAATTCTGAATTGAGACTCTATCACGAATCTCCGATTAGAGGTCTATAAAAATCACAAGTTTCCATCGTTCAAGTTTGAACCCCCTGATCGGGTATGGAAGTGTTGAAAGGAATATTCTCAGATAAATTATGAACATACGAAAATGGATATATATTCATATAAAGCAATACATTGAGAATTCGCATTCTCTATGTAATGAGAATATCGACTCTTTTTCAGTTTATTCATATATAATACCACAAGTGATAATATTTTGCTGGAAATATTCGGTGATTGTTACGGCACCCCCTGATTGGATATGAAAGTGTTGAAAAGGAATATTCTCAGATCATCATCAAGATCAGAGTTTATGCCAGAATACTTTTCCTATATATTTCAATTTTCATTTCAATGCTGAATATATTGGTAAGTTATATTTCTATATAATTAAACATCATATTATTCATCCAATTTGAAGAAGAATGTCAATTCTCAATTTCGGAGGATTTTATTTTTTATTTTTTATGTTCTCCTTTTGGATGTTCATAAGATATAATTCAATGTTCGACGTGGAAAATAGCCAAGAAAGTAGTTGTTTTCTGTTGAATATTCAGAATGATGTATGCATATACATATTTTTGTCTGAAGGAGAATGCAAATTCTCACTTTTAGAAGATTTTATATTTTATTTTCAAACTCCTATCGTGTATTCTATTGAATAAACTGAAAAAGAGTCGATATTCTCATTACATAGAGAATGCGAATTCTCAATGTATTGCTTTATATAAATATATATATCCATTTTTGTATGTTTATAATTCATCTGAGAATATTCCTTTTCTACACATAGTCTTCTACAGTCACTTCATGTTCAACAACAATATCTAGATGCTTTTTCTAAGGATTTTACGCTTCATCTCATTAGATAGGAAAGCAATGCTAGATGATGCAGTATACTTCGATGTTGTGTTAACATGAAGAAACTTTGATTATTAAATAATTTTAGGAAGATAAATTCCGTCAGGTGCTTCATTCATAAACTGGAATATTTCCGCTTTCAAGGAGATTTTTGCCTTTTTTGGCCTAAATCCAATGTTTTGTTTTTTATATTATGTCGTATCCTTGAAGAACTTGCTCAAATCGATGTGTTTTTCAGTTTGATTACACTTTTTAACATTGAGTACCTCGACCAGAGAGTGTTTGGCTTGCATGTTCTGGAAATTTCAGCAAAATAAGCCAAAAAACGTCTTCTTTGAAACTTTTGATTCCCTTATTTTGGCACTAGTTCTCAAACAAATTATATTCCTTTCCATACCTGTGACGGGATTTTGATGGTAATAGATCCAAGTTTGCAGTTCTAGCCGCTTTCAAAACTGAGTGCGGAAAAATCTTTTTTCCGCACTCAGTGCAGAAAAGTGACTCTTTCAACATTGAAATGAGTGCGGGAAAGTTAACTTTTCCGCACGCTGGTAGAAAAAAGATATTGCACCACACCACACCTTGGCCGACTTCATCATGAAAGTTGAGGCACCGATCTGCCTATAGTCAGACTAATAAATACATTCATTATCCGTACGCGGCAAGTAGAGTACAAGTGGAGAAAAAAGTAGTAAACCGTGCGACAAAGCATCGTAAACGTGCGACGAAACGTTATGAATGTGAAACGGAACGTCCAAAACGTACGACACAACTCCATCGCAGAAGAGGGTCACCACTCTCACCTTCTCAGTTCTGCACATATCATGGTATCACAAATTAGACTTCGATAGCATATACATATTATGTCAAACACACGGTCAGTTTAACACCATCCAAAAACTTACGGTCAGACAGAGAGGAATATTAGATGTAGCTCTATTCCCCTTGACCTATATTAATTTGGGATATTTCAAATATGAGGTAATGAATGAAGGAGATTGAATGCATTGGAATTATTCTGAAACTTTATTCAGGAGAATTACATAGCACTTTGTGGTTTCGGAGTTGATAGGATAGCAGGAGTTTCATTGCAGGCACTCAGTTCAATGAGACGGGCAAAGGAAAGTGCTCGTATTTCTTGAGAACTGAGAAGAAGGTTATAATTTCGCTCCATTATTTGTTTTATATCGATAACCATCAATGAGTCCATACCTGAAAAATGAACATAGCATGATTATTCAATCTGGGGTTGCTTGAAATGCAATGTTATAATGGGGGAAAATGAACCATGAAGTTGGAAATGAAAATCTATCAGGAGTGATTTTGAAATGGAGATTTACTTTACTGAGACCAGCTCTGGAGATCTTGGAGATTCTAAATTCATCTTGGATAGATCCTAATGTCCTTTTCCTCAAATAAACTCCTTTACCAAATACTTAATTCTTTTCAACATGCAATGATTCACATCATTATTAGCTCAGATATCAGGGTGTATCCATGAAAAGCGGGACACACTGTATGGAAGAACATATTTCCAAGTACTTTAGCGAGTTTTGATCATCCTTCCAATATTATTGACTACCCCTAATAACACAATAACATCTGTAAGACGTCGTTGAAACATCCATATGGGATGATAGGAACATCTCTGGAAAATCCCTATTTTCCTTGGGACATTCTTGGGATGTTGCTGCCAACACCCTTGTCAGCATTTGCGATGTCTCATTAACATCCCATCAGAATGTTTGTGGAATGATACGGGATGTACCTACCAGAGGCATTCAGGGTACTTGATATGGAACATCTTAATGAAACTTCTAGGATGTTTTTTGTTTGATGACAGTAATGGATGACACGGTATGAATTATTTTCAATCTGAAATCCTGAAAATGGATGACCTATTTCCAGATATAAAGTAACAATCCGAATCCGAAAAAATTAGGTCGGTGCGGTCCAATAACTTATGGAAGATGATAACAGTTGTTTGAGGCTCATATTTGTTGGCGCTGGGCAGACGGCTGTTAGTAACTCTTAGCAACGTAGTTGTACCGCCATCTATCGGCTGGTATAACAAATAAATTCATTAATAAATATGCTGGAGAGATATATTTCAATTTTGTAGTTTATTACATGGTTCATGATATTAAAGAGGTACTTTGGTAATCCTATTGAGGGATATTCAGTATTATTATTTCAATTTGTTATCGATGAAATTAACCGGCTTTGGTATAGGTATAAGTACCTATATGAATACGAATACAGTTTTGATTTCCATTTTTCACCAACTCTTCAATGTTTCAAATGTCACAATTGTTTGAACTATTCAATCATGTCATGATACTGTTTTTATAAAGGAAGATCAAATGGAATGTTTCTGGAACATCCAATGAAAACATCTGATGGATGTCCCAAGAGAAACATCTCTGGGATATCGTACCTAAGTCTGAAACATTGGGACATTTGTAGGACCTTAGCGGGGTGTACCAGCAAGATCCCGTGTTGTTAGGGACATTCCAATCACTTGTGCATTGATTTTTTTGTCGAAAATATTCCATCTGCAGAGGCATACAAGACAAATCTTTGGCGTCATAGTTATCAATAGTAAATAGGAATATCATCGGAAGAATTTGACAAATGAATGTAGTATATTATTTCCTGACATTTTCGTATGCCTTATCAGGATTATGAAAAGAATTCAACAAATAATGTTCACCTCGAAACTTTTTGAAAATAATTCTTCTGTTTTCCTCAATATGTAATGATAAACTAAGCTACGAATCATTTTTTTTCAATTCGAGAATGTTTATATAGTTGCTTTCTACAATGATAAGCCTTTCGATTTGCCCTCGGATATGCCTAACTCTATCGGTTCTCGGGATGGAAAATAATTTGTGTTAAATATGATCCAAAACACATCCCTAATAATTGAACTCATGTAAATCAGGGCTCTCGAATCATAACGGGTTGATATTTTTTTTTGTTGAATTTTCTGCAAGTTCTGGCAATGATTTGATCACACTGTCCGTGCATAATAAATAACTTCATGAGAACTTCGTTTGAATAATCGATATTCGCGTACATACTGGGAGTTTTTTTGAAACACTGTGAATGACGATTTTTGAATTACTCATTAATGTCACCGAACTGTCATGAGTTTGATATTTCCATGGCTATCTAAAACACTTTTCCAAAAAATCATATTTTTCACATGAAGCGGCTTTATTGAGAAAACTTGATGATTCAGGTATAGGGACATGCTATGTCATCTTGTAGCATTTTCATTCGTCTTTCAATTTATCGAGTAAAAAACAGTGGGTTCCATTTGAAAAAATGAACTTTTGACCACTTGTATGAACAACGGATATAATAATAATTCCAGCACGCCCTGTATGATATGGAGGCGACTTCTCGGTGTAAATTGGATATATCAAGCCTGTCCAAACCACCACTGAGATGTCAACTCTTTATGATTCGAGAGCCTTGATTTAAATAAGTTTATTTAGGGATATGTTTTGGATCATATTCAACACAAATTATTTGTTATCTTGAAAACCGATAGAGATAGGTACAGGGATTCATCAACAAAAGAGTATTGTGATGAAAAGACGATTCTAAAAATTTGTTAATATACGGAGTGTTCCATTAAAAAAATGAAGTTGCTAGGACTTTTTGATAGAAACAGCAACGTCGCAATTTCGAAAATATTCCAGATCGATAGAACAAGTGATAAAATGTAAAATGCGGAATTTTCAGAAAAATTCTACGTTGCGTTCTCCATGAACGTCTAACGTACCATCGACCGTGAGTTACCCTGTATACCGACGTTATTGTTGTTTTCAGATTGTTGACGTTTGAATGAAAGGTATGGAATAAGAATAGGTTCTTAGTTATTGAATAATAGTGAGTAGATACAAACTATTTACAGATGACAATTTTGTATCACTGTGTTACCCTGTTATTGGAGGGAATATTTATAGTTCCTCTGTTGGATAACCGACGACCCTGAGAAATTTCACGAAGTCTTCTTGAATCTTACATTTGATAACTGAACGAACAAATAGTTTAGCAGTTTCAAGTCCTGATGATCAAGGGTGTCTTTTTTTTGTTGGTGAGTGTAGATATGATATTCATTGATGAGAACGGAAGGCGAATTTTAGAAAAAAAATAGTCCACCTACTCGATAAACCTACAGACAATATTCATTGAGTTCCACGAGTGACTTCGTTACACATCATTCATTCTACTAGGTACCTACTGATGGCAGCAATAATGAAATCATGATACTGCATATTATGCACCACAATCAATTCATCTCATTTTCATTATTCTTGAAACGCTCCTGATTTTCAACAAGGAAAGGTACCCTTTTCATCACTAATTGCGGTAATCAGAAACCTATGAGTGGTTCCCTTGCACCAGGATACTCCCATTACCTGATTATATCAAAAATTCAATATATATATAGAAAAATTACAATTATTGTTCCCTATTGTGTGAATATATGATCCAAAAACGTTTCTTCATCACCCTTTATGTCGATGACAAGATCATTTCAGAGGAAAACGACTATGCCTATGATTCAGCTTCATTCACAAGCCCTTCAATTTATGATGATTCTCACTGAATGAATCACCATGCCTAAAAAAATTAATAAATAATCCTCACCTATATCAGCTAAAGTGATGTGGGGCGATACAGTACCAATATCATCGATCCCCAAAATATCACAAACAGCAGTTTTCAAATTGACTTGACAATCATCACCATAATCAACTCTCTTCTTCTCAGCTAGAATCAAACTACCGACTACAGGATATGAATGTTGCAAGAAAACGTCAATCGTTTGCAAGCATGAACTCATGCTTTGGGGTGAAGTACCCTGTATAACAATATCATCGCCACCCATAGTCTCCATCAAGATTCCGACATCACCAATGGCACCCCATTGTATGACCATACCAGGGAAACCAGCAGCTTGACGAGATTCAACTATGCGTTCCATGCTAGAATTGGCAAAGCCATAGTTCGATTGTCCAGCATTTCCTGAAATAAGATAACTAGATTATTCAAGGGCTCCAGAAGATTCAAGTTATAATACAGTACCTTCGTTGAGTACTAAATAAATTGATTTTTAGCCGAACTATCCATTTCTCAATTGTATTACACATGAGAGTTAGTATACAGTGTCTGCTGAATCAAGTTTTATTGTGAAGTAGTTGATGAATTTATTTTTTCTGTGACGGGAAAAAAGTTTGGCATTTCATCTCTGTTGGCAGGTTATGAAATGTCACTTTTCATAAATTACTTTTTTCCCGTGGGCAAAAAGTGAGTACTTTTTTCCCGGATATATATCACATATATATACACTGTTGATGGCTTTTGTTGTGCTATAGTTCCGAAAAATAAGTCAATAATACCGTCTCCGAGAAAGAACTGCAAGTCCTTATATCTTCGATTCGACTTCGCGGTTACGTATATTACTAAACAACCACTAAATTCGCAATTTTTTGAAATCAAATCACAGAATTAGACTGACAGAAGTGACATCAAATATTTGATTACTTCAAAAGAATGATAAAGATGCCTATAGAACGCAGGTTCTACTGTTAAAAACTTAAAATTTCACGTCGATAATTTTCAGATTTCAAAATAATGTAACATTTTCTCAATATTGATTCGTGCTTTCTTCTGTCACAGAAAAAAATAGTGTATTATACACGGGAAAAATATTAGATTTTAGCTCACGGTTTTTTGTCTCCCTCCGCTACGCGTCGGGAGACCACACAACCTGGAGCTAAAATCTACAACTTTTTTCCCTTGTATAATAAATAACTATCTCATCCATGCTATTAATTCCTGAGAAATATTTCACGAATGAGGTTTGTATACAGTGCGTTCGTTGAACTGAGTGCTTTCGTGAAGTAGTGGATAAATTCGTGAGGAATTGAAAGGAAATCTTTTGGAAAGAACGCTCAGAGCCGTCAAATTTAATGTTCATCAATACACTCTTTCAAATTCAATGATACAAACAGAATAATTCATGTAGTAGAAATTACGTCATCTGTGTTTTTGAAATGATAACCCCATTCCAAGATAGCACTGTATAACGAAAGCACTGCATATAAGCCCTATTCGTGATAGTTTTGAATTCAGCCTTCCATGAATATTGAAATGATTCAAATATCGGTGATACATAGGGTGTACCATTTGAAAAAAATGTCGCGGATGTCATAACTCAAATGTGGATCATCCGGTGTATATAATGTTGACTCATGACTGTGGCGAGTTGAAAAGTGGAATCGACCTATTCCAGGAGAATTCCTCAGAAATGGATAGTTCCGCTAAACATTCATTTATTCAGTACTTCACGAAAGCACCCAATTCAACGGACGCACTGTATAGGAATCCCTTGTTTGATATATTTTTAAATCCCATTTCCATGAAGATTCCAAGAATGAAATAAAATATACGGTGTTTTATTTGAAAAAATTGTCGCGGACGTCATTACTCACACGTGGATCACCCTGAATATATAATTTTTCTCAAAAAATGTGGCAAATTGAAAAAAAAAATGCGACCTGTTTCATGAAATTCTTCATGAATGGATAGTTCGGCTGAAAATGAATTCATTCAGTACTTTACGGAAGCACTATATGAATACGCGAGATAAGGGTTTGTTAGTTACCTACACCAACAAATTATTTGTGGTCGAATTATTTCTGTTGGACTTTCGAATCCAACAGATACATGATCATTTCAGAGAAGCGACCCGTTCAGATAAAAAAATGTTGTTTGATTGAATTTTAACAATATAATATCGATTCCATCAAAAAAATATATGGTCATTTCAGAAACGAATTATGTTGGTCCGAATATCATGTCAATGTTGATCAAACGATATAGATTCGAAGAAATAATGATCATTTTGATAGGAATATAATTAGGAGTTCATGTGACCTCCTCAGCACTCCCCCTCCTTCGTCCTTCTCCCTCCTTCTGCTTCGTCTTTCTCCCTCCTCCGCACTCCTCGGCAGTGACGACAGACCATGGTCTTCGAAGGGCTGTGAAATGACCTGCTGCTTTTCGCATGGACCCGGGCCGTGAGTGGTCTTGAGCGTGCGGTACCCAATCAGCACCAGACATCTTAAAGACGTACATTTTACGACTTACTCACGTCTTTACGTCCAGGGACGTATAAAGTACGTCTTTAAGATGTAAATCCATGTACATCTTAAAGACGTACACGAATTTACGTCTTCAAGACATACATTTTAGGTCGTATCCACGTCGTTCCTCCCATGTCGTATAAAAGACGTCTTAAAGACGTACATTCCAGTACGTCAATTCGAGTTATAGAACAATAATGTAAGTTATTTTCTGAAGAAAAACAAAATGTCATCTCTTCACGTTTTTTATTTTCAATTGTTCAGTTTTTTCTTATTTTCAACAAAAGTGATGTTTTTGAATTTTTTCGTCCGACATTTTGGAGCCTTCGTGTTAGATTCTCGAATTTTCACAAAAAAATCATATTCTCCGACCCCAAAAGTCCCAAAGTAATAAATTTTGAATAAAATCGGACTATAATCTCAAAACTCGTCCGCCATTTTGAAGCCGACATCTTGGATTTTTCATTTTCGACAAAAGGAATTATAATCTCTGATCCCGAAATCCTTCAGATGCCAATTTTGAATCAGATCAGACCATAATCAGAAAACCATATGCCACATTGGATTCACCATCTTGAATATTGAATTTTGATTCGAATCGGAACATAATCAATGAGAAAATCGTCCGCCATATTGGATCCGCCATTCTGTTTTTTTCATTCAATAATAATATCACAACGAATTGTCACCGGAATAATATTTACTTGCCAAATTTCAAATCAATCGGACGATTAAAGTGAGTCAAATTTAACTTGCACGTTTTGATTACAAACAGACACAAGGACATGTTAAACTAAGTAAAAGCTTGTTATGTGATATATAGAACAAACAGAAAGCAACAAAGAGCGCGGTTAGTACTTGAATGGGTGACCGCTTGTGTCTACCGTTTGATGAAGTCGTTTATTTCCCTTTTTTTTTTTTGCTTGTCTGCTTGTTGCTAACTTCAGTGCACAGGTGAAAATTAACTGAAACTATGTGATTTTTCCGTAATTTGAAAGATCAAATTGAGGTCATGGACCAAAAACACCTAAAAAAGACGTCTTAAAGACGTACATATTAGTGGAAAATGTACGTTTTTTTCTGTGACGGGAAAAAAGTTTGGCATTTCATCTCTGTTGACAGGTTATAAAATGTCACTTTTCATAAATTACTTTTTTCCCGTTTGAAAAAAGTGACTACTTTTTTCCCGGATATACAGGGTGTCCCTTGACCAGTGGGACAGTTGAATATCTCCTCAACCAATAGGAATTTCAGAAATATTATAATTCCACATCATATCGCATTATGAGTGCTAACTTCAGGAATGACTATATTTTCTACGAGGGGCACAAGAAAGGCTCACAAAATCGAACATCAATTTTTTCAAATGGAACACCCTGTATTTTATTGCATTTTCATAATCTCCTTGAAGAGCTGAATTCAACGACCTAGCACACTTGGGCTCTAGCGGGAATGATTTCCGAGATATAGGGTGTGGAAAATCGAGATTTTTCATTTTTGGGAATTTTTTGTGTCAAAACCATTCATTATTGGTCAAAACAACTCACATGTCCATGTCTCAACTTTTGATTTACTATTCACTCGTATTTAATTGAAACAAATACAGGGTGGTGTGGAATTCCGACTGAAACAGAATTCTACACCACCCTGTATTTGTTTGATTTGAATACGAGTGAATAGTAAATCAAAAGTTGAGACATGGACATGTGAGCCATTTTGACCAATAATGAATAGTTTTGACACAAAAAATTCCCAAAAATGAAAAATCTCGATTTTCCACACCCTATATCTCGGAAATCATTCCCGCTAGACCCCAAGTGTGCTAGGTCGTTGAATTCAGCTCTTCAAGGAGAATATGATAATGCAATGAAATACAGGGTGTTCCATTTGAAAAAATTGATGTTCGATTTTGTGAGCCTTCCTTGCGCCCCTCGTATAAAATATAGTCATTCCTGAAGATAGCACTCATGATGCGATATGATGTGGAATTATAATATTTTGAAAATTCCTATTGGTGCAGAAGATATTTAACTGTCCCACTGGTCTAGGGACACCCTGTATATCACATATATATACTCTGTTAATGGCTTTTGTTGTGCTATAGTTCCGAAAAATGAGTCAATAATACCGTCTTCGAGAAAGAACTGCAAGTCCTTTTATCTTCCATTCGACTTCGCGGTTTCGTATATTACTAAAGAACTACTGAATTCGCAATTTCTTAAAATAAAATCACAGAATTGAACTGACAGATGTGACATCAGATATTTGATTACTTCAAAAGAATGATAAAGATACCTATAAAACGCAGGTGTCCCTACTGTTAAAAACTTGAAATTTCACGTCGATAATTTTCAGATTTCGAAATAATGTAATTTCTTCTCAATATTGATTCGTCCTTCCTTCTGTCACAGAAAAAAATAGTGTATTATACACGGGAAAAATATTTGATTTTAGCTCACGGTTTTTTATCTCCCTCCGCTACGCGTCGGGAGACAACACAACCTGGGGCTAAAATCTACTACTTTTTTCCCTTGTATAATAAATAACTATTTGTTGTTCGGTTTGCCAAAAGCGTGGTGGTCATTTGAGTCGTTTTCCTTCCTTCGAACGAAAAGAGCGGGGTTCGATCCCTTCTCCAGCTATTTTTTCTTCATTTTCTCTTATCGGAAAAATACTATGCAGGCATTCATTGGCAATTTCAATTATCAGGATCGGTCGAAAATTTTCAGATTCTCGCGTTCAGCGAGCAGCGAGCGAGGCGCAATATTACCTCGCAATGGTGCTATGGCTAGAATCTAGTTGAGTTCATCGGTGATGAAAGTGTCTGTATTTCACTAAGGCAGATGTTTCATTTTCGAATATAAAGAAGATTATTCT